CTACCACCGGCTGACCATTCCCCACGCCCCGAGGTGAGCTGGGGGTGCAAAGGTTCCCCACCCCTCTGCATTTATGGGGGGTTGCCCCTCTTACTCCCTTGTGCCCACAGAGCCCTGCGCTGGTGGAGGATCCTCAGGAGACAGCAGGGGACAGCGAGGGGGTGGCAGGGGGGCTGCCCTGGCCCCTCTGGCACAAGCAGCGCCAAATGGAGGAGGATTTTGGGGAGCTGCTGGAGCAGTGAGTGCCCTCACAGCAGGGCAGGGGGGGCACGGGCACAGGGCATGTCCCCAAAGCCGCCCCCTCCTGCCCGCGGGTCCCCCCAGGTACAAGCACTTCAAGTCCTTGCCGGAGTCGCTGAGCCTGGAGCAGCTGAGCCTGGTGGGGAGCCAGTCCCAGGAGGAGGTGGATGCACCCACGGCAGGGGATGGTGGCCCCAGCAAGGTCCCCTGCAGGACACGGTCACTCGAGGAGGAGCCCAGCCTCGAGCCCTTGGCCTTGTAAGTGCTGTGGGAGGTGGGGGTGAGCAGGAGGTTTGACATCAGGTCTCCAGTTTTATTTACCTTAGGGTTAACAACTCCATGGCACAGCTGGACAAGGACATATCCCCACAGGACATTTCCCCGTGCCTGGGGTTGCTCTGCCCCATCATTCCTGCTCCATCCCCTCCCCACAGGCACCTCCCACAGAGAAGAGCTGCGACTCTTCCCCCCAGAGGAACCGCAAACCTGGAGGAGACACTGGGCCACCCCTCCCCTGCACCTGCTGAGGAGCCACCAGCCTCTGCCAAGCCCCCCCTGGGGGTCCCTGGGCCACCACGGGTGTCCCTGTCCCTCGGTGGGACAGGCAGCGGTGCCACCCAGCCTGGGCCCCACAAGGTGAGTCTCTGGGGCTGCGGATCCTCGCCTGAGAGCCCCCCCAGCGCCCCCCAGCTGGGCACTGACTGCTGTCCCTGTCCCTCTGCAGGAGCAGCGCATCGTGTCCCCAGAGACCGACAGTGGCTTCGTGGGCTCGGAGGCCAGCAGGGTGTCACCCCCCATGCACACCCCCGAGCAACATCCCCCTGGTCCAGGGTACGGCCCTGCCTGCGGGGTTTGGGGGATTTGAGGAGCAGGGGTGGCAGGAGAGGCACTGAAGGTGTGAGGAGCAGGGCTGGAGATGTGCAGATGATCTTTCGGTTCCTTCCAACCCAAGCTGCTGTCCTGCAGTTCAATGATTCTATCAGCTTTGCTGAGAATAATCTTTTGGAATCAGTTTCCTGATACCTGAGCTAGCAACACTTTCTTCAACTCACACTGCAGGAAGTGTACTCTTTCTCACACTGTGTTGCCGTAATGATGCTCTTGGGATATAAAGGGAAGAAAGTTAAAAAAGAGTAGCTCTTTTAAAAAGACAAGCTCCTGTGGCCAGGGGGAGCCCTGGGGCTGCCTGCATGACCTGTCCCTTTCTCCAGGGCTCCGGGCTCGCTGGGACCCTCCGTCCCCATCCCCAGCAGCCTCCGCACCCCACGGGAGAGAGAGACGACCCCGCTTCCCTCCGAGACAGCACTGATGGGCATC